GTTTCAGAGTTGAAGATGGGAAGGATAACAAACTTGGTTCTGACTGGCGGGTTGATGGTCAGGAAAGAACATCCTCTGCTTCTGTTATTACTGAGCTCTCTGATCCATTATCGCCCACCCATGGCAAATCTGTTGGTACTTTTGAATCTTCAGATACTCCAGAGCTTTCATCTACACTTGCCAGCCATGATGATAATGATGATGGCGGCACCCTGGGAGGCATATTACATGGTGATGATGCCAATGATGATGAACTGCAGTCTAAAAGAAGGTAATTAGGTGTATTTTGCATGCTGTTTACTTTCACATGCTATGACGACCTATGTTTATCTATCAACTTTCCAATTCAGGAAGATGGAAAGCAGCTTGCTTGAAACCAATTTGGCATCAAGAGCTGTTCGTGAACCTAGAGTTGTCGTCCAGATAGAGAGTGAAGTAGACATTCTTGATGATGGGTATCGCTGGCGGAAGTACGGGCAGAAAGTTGTCAAAGGAAATCCTAATCCTAGGTATTGAACTTTCTTTAGCTCTCTTTTGGGGGGCTTGCCTTTTCACCCTTCTGGGATTATTCTGTCAACCCTGACAGAATTCTGAATACAGATGATCTGTATTGAGCTTTTTTCTGTGAGGCCTTTTTGTTTCTTCTGTTGGGGATTGTTCTGTTGACCCCTACAGAATTCTGAGCACAGATGATTCTTGAGAGACATAGATTGAAGATGAGTATTACAATTAACGACTTAAAATTGTTCAACTGAATGTCGCATATATGTGTGCAGTTGTGTATTTGTGTTCAATTGCATTAACATTGCCGTGTTTCTCATTATTAAAGAAAACATGCATTTCTGAGTTTTTGAGTTATTTTTTTCCCTAAGTTGGCTGGATAAAAAGCTCCTTTCAAATCTTATGACATGTTTTTTAAGTTTTCCTCATCTTTTTGCTACAGGAGCTATTACAAATGCACGAGTGCTGGTTGTTTAGTCAGAAAGCACGTGGAAAGAGCCTCACACGATTTGAAATGTGTTATCACAACTTATGAGGGAAAACACAATCACGAAGTGCCCGCAGCCAGGAACAGCACTAATGTTAATTCAAGTGTCAGTAATTTACTCCCAGCTGTTGCTGATGCTCAAACAGGCTTGACATTGCCAAGAAACACCTATGCCGCAAAGTCTGAGCAACAAATTCAAGATATCGCACCACGTTTTGAAAGGAAACTTGAATATAACAATGAATATTTGAGGCCTGGGTTTCTTGGGAATTTCAGTAATGATATGAAGTTTGGGATTCCATCCATTTACCTAATGAAGTTTCCGCCCTTACAAAATCCTTACAGCTCTTTTGGACTAAACACCAACTGCAGTGTAACTCCTCCTCAGTCTGGTTCTGTCGACTCAGCTGTTCCCAATTTCCCATTTTCGTTGCCGTGGAGTCTCCCCACATCATCAAATCTTTCTCTGCCTGCTTGTGATTTTAGTAACAATAATGGAAAGCCGGTAGGTCCGGTTCAATCTTTCCTTTCCGGGCAGCAGCTGAAGGAGAATGATATGAGATTCCTCAGGCCAAAGCAGGAGCAAAAGGATGATACCCTCTATGATGCTTGCCTGCCCGTTGATAATACAAGTTTATCCTCTTCGTCTTCATCGTCAGTCTATCACCAGGTGACGGGCAATTTTCCGTCTTAACACATGATTCAAAGGTAACAAATTTGGACTGCATTGTCTGTTTATCACCAGGTGATGGACAATTTTCCATCTTAATACATGATTCAAAGGTAACAGATTCAGACTCTGCTCGCTTTTCTCTTAAATTCTAAGGTTTCTAGCAATATTTTACTGCTACTACACTTTCTTTTTTGCTTAATCTCGATATCGAAGCATCTGAAATTTTTGCCTAAAAATTTGCGTACAACTGTATTTACTGCATTCTTGTTAGTTTTCAATTTTATCAAGAGGAATTTTTCTTTACAGAGTACAAAATTGATTAGTAGCTCTCTCTTTCTCTCTTGCTTCAGTGTTGAGTTTCTGCTTGCTTTTGATTAACTCCAATTTTTGTGGCCATTTAAAGATTGTAATATTATTACCGGAATTTTATTTATTTGCTTAAGCTTTTAGGTGAAATGATTATTTATTGAAACTAGTTCCTTGGAATTTTACAGAGATGGTTAAAAATTTTGAATTGTATAATTTAGCTGATTGCACTTGTATATATGTTTTTGCTTTAGTTTTTTGTATGCAATTCCAGTCCTATTTGAAGATGTTAAAATAGCACTTAAAATAATTATAAATAAATAAATTGTCTGATAAGCTGGACCGGGCCCATGATAAGGCCCAAAACATGGCCCAATCCTACAGTTTTGTTGGATCAATAAGTTTTAAAGATGTTTGGTTTTTTTTTTTTTTTTAAATGTTTAAGTCTATTTGAACACACTTCAACTAATCTTTGAAGTCCATTGAACATTTTATAAACTCAAAAGATTATATAAACCATAATCCTAAAGTTTAAATCCAAAAGGAAAATGATGGAGTTACCGAAAAGTTTACACCGAATTTATGCACCGAATGACATGATAAAATTCTGACCGTTGATTAATATTAACTAATAATAAATCAACGGTCAGGATTTTGTCAAGTTATTCGGTGCACAAATTCGGTGCACACCCGTCAATAACTGTAACATTACTCAATCCAAAAACCAAGAAGACACAAACCTCTTTAACTATCCGGCCAACCCCTTAGGTTTATTAAAATAAATTTAGCACAAATAGCACAAAATCTAAAATCTAACAAGAGCAAATCATCTACAACTGTTCCTCTTTAGAAATTTAGTACTCAAGTCTTGAGGCAATAAAGAAGATGAAAACATGCTCAAGGAAGCTGGAGCTCTAAACAACCAGGAAAGCTTCTGAACAAAATGATGCGTGTTATATTTGGTCGTGCAAATTCAAAATATACACAGCAAAACAGCTGCTGTGTTCTTGAATGTATGATTTCGGCAACAGAAGACTAAAAACACAGAACCAAACATAAGTTTTGATTCTAACAGTGAATCATATCATTCAAAGCCAACGTCGGCTAGAAAGTGAAGGAATCATGCAATGCAAGCAAACCAAACTATATATACATTAACCACATGCATAACTACTACATAAGTTTTCACTACGAACCATAGAGTAGAAATACACTCAACTACACTGTATAATCCATGCGATTACAAATTCCATCCCAGAACTGATAACAAGTTATAATCCACAAAAAACCAAAACAAGCAGGTTAAAAACTACCCACATCCTAGAAAACATCATAAGCATCAAGGAAGAATATAGATATAACATTATCGTATTAATAGTTTTCTATTCACAAATAAGTTGAGCAACAGAAAACCTAAACAGCTACATAAGACTAGAAATCCTATCTAAAATATAGACCTACGCATACACATACCAGGAGGATCAAACACTGAAACAAAATGTTTACATGGAAAGACGATTACTTAAAATCAATCATTTGGCGCAAATTATATGGAATAGATAGGTAGGGAGATTGCTATTTACTTACAGTAAATACATGCTTAGAAGACATTAACTCACTTGCGCATGAGCTTAATTCGTATTCTATCCAATGACTCAAAATAGATGAAGGCTTCCTAAATTTCCTAATCAACACTCCATTCACCAACTCCAAATTACCCTCCAAAAGTTCTCATCCTAATTCATAAGGTCTGCAAAGTCTATGAATAAATGCCTTCTGGTGTGAATGAAACTTCAAAAAACAAAATATCGCCATAAATCCAGTGAATTTTAATGAACATATCATTTACAACTAATGCAAGCTCATAACAAGGATTCAAACAAACTATGAGTAAGTGCATTAATTGGCACTCACTGCCAATTCACAAAACAAGAGAAAATCATGTTGAAAAAGAAATCTCAGTAGCAAAAGGGCCATGCGTGTTTGCAGAAGCAATGAATTTTGCAAATTTCTAACGAAGAAAGACTATCACTTAATGTACTTTTTCAATTAACCTTTTCAAATATGTATCAAAGAACGAGCATTATACAATGTCAAAGCATTCGAAAATCAACACTCAAGAAGATAAAAAAAGCTTGCATGAGTGATCATCAACATAAACAAAAACAAACAGAGCAGCTCATGAATCATGACATTACCAATCTAGCCACCACTACAATTAAGATCAATATCCCAACAAGGGAGAACATGTCTAAACATCAAAACTAAAATCCCACTGACATCAATGAAAATACATGCATTAAACACTTGAACATAATCAAAGTTCATTTACAAATTGAACACGCGTGTGCATATGCACAAGTCTACAGGACCAACATACTTTGTAAACAAAGAAAAAATATCATACAATGAACTTTTTAACTAATCTTTTCAAGTGTATGAAGAAAAACAAAAAGGAGCATCATATAATGTAAATGAACATAAAAACCATACTTTACAACTCACAAGATTACTAATCCTGCCATCACAACAGATAACAACTCAAAACACATCTAAAACATCACTAAACTAAAACTCAACCGAAGCATCAATTGAAAAGCAAGCATTTAATACTTCTAACATAACAAACAAACTTAAGTCTTCCACTTAATAATATTACCTCCACCACCATCATCAAAAACATCCATTCATTCATTGTTACAAACTAATAATCTAAACAATCACTCAATTAAAACCTCACCAACATATGAATTAAAAAACTTTCATTTCACACTTCAAGCACAACCAACAAACATTAGGATCCACATAACAACATTAACATAACACCAGCACCACTGTTACACATTCATTCATAGCATACAAATTCATAAGATCACTAATTTAAGGATCACAACAATTAAGACCATTATCCCCACAACCCAAAAAAACACATCCAAATAATCACCAAAGCTAAAACCCCACTAACATATGAATTAAAAACCTGCAATTTAACACTTCTAACACAACAATCATAGCCTCACACATAATGAAATTAACTTCATGCCGCCACCGCCACCGCCACCAATACACTAACATTCATTGATAACATAACACAGTAGCTCTCTCTTTCTCTCTTGCTTCAGTGTTGAGTTTCTGCTTGCTTTTGATTAACTCCAATTTTTGTGGCCATTTAAAGATTGTAATATTATTACCGGAATTTTATTTATTTGCTTAAGCTTTTAGGTGAAATGATTATTTATTGAAACTAGTTCCTTGGAATTTTACAGAGATGGTTAAAAATTTTGAATTGTATAATTTAGCTGATTGCACTTGTATATATGTTTTTGCTTTAGTTTTTTGTATGCAATTCCAGTCCTATTTGAAGATGTTAAAATAGCACTTAAAATAATTATAAATAAATAAATTGTCTGATAAGCTGGACCGGGCCCATGATAAGGCCCAAAACATGGCCCAATCCTACAGTTTTGTTGGATCAATAAGTTTTAAAGATGTTTGGTTTTTTTTTTTTTTTTAAATGTTTAAGTCTATTTGAACACACTTCAACTAATCTTTGAAGTCCATTGAACATTTTATAAACTCAAAAGATTATATAAACCATAATCCTAAAGTTTAAATCCAAAAGGAAAATGATGGAGTTACCGAAAAGTTTACACCGAATTTATGCACCGAATGACATGATAAAATTCTGACCGTTGATTAATATTAACTAATAATAAATCAACGGTCAGGATTTTGTCAAGTTATTCGGTGCACAAATTCGGTGCACACCCGTCAATAACTGTAACATTACTCAATCCAAAAACCAAGAAGACACAAACCTCTTTAACTATCCGGCCAACCCCTTAGGTTTATTAAAATAAATTTAGCACAAATAGCACAAAATCTAAAATCTAACAAGAGCAAATCATCTACAACTGTTCCTCTTTAGAAATTTAGTACTCAAGTCTTGAGGCAATAAAGAAGATGAAAACATGCTCAAGGAAGCTGGAGCTCTAAACAACCAGGAAAGCTTCTGAACAAAATGATGCGTGTTATATTTGGTCGTGCAAATTCAAAATATACACAGCAAAACAGCTGCTGTGTTCTTGAATGTATGATTTCGGCAACAGAAGACTAAAAACACAGAACCAAACATAAGTTTTGATTCTAACAGTGAATCATATCATTCAAAGCCAACGTCGGCTAGAAAGTGAAGGAATCATGCAATGCAAGCAAACCAAACTATATATACATTAACCACATGCATAACTACTACATAAGTTTTCACTACGAACCATAGAGTAGAAATACACTCAACTACACTGTATAATCCATGCGATTACAAATTCCATCCCAGAACTGATAACAAGTTATAATCCACAAAAAACCAAAACAAGCAGGTTAAAAACTACCCACATCCTAGAAAACATCATAAGCATCAAGGAAGAATATAGATATAACATTATCGTATTAATAGTTTTCTATTCACAAATAAGTTGAGCAACAGAAAACCTAAACAGCTACATAAGACTAGAAATCCTATCTAAAATATAGACCTACGCATACACATACCAGGAGGATCAAACACTGAAACAAAATGTTTACATGGAAAGACGATTACTTAAAATCAATCATTTGGCGCAAATTATATGGAATAGATAGGTAGGGAGATTGCTATTTACTTACAGTAAATACATGCTTAGAAGACATTAACTCACTTGCGCATGAGCTTAATTCGTATTCTATCCAATGACTCAAAATAGATGAAGGCTTCCTAAATTTCCTAATCAACACTCCATTCACCAACTCCAAATTACCCTCCAAAAGTTCTCATCCTAATTCATAAGGTCTGCAAAGTCTATGAATAAATGCCTTCTGGTGTGAATGAAACTTCAAAAAACAAAATATCGCCATAAATCCAGTGAATTTTAATGAACATATCATTTACAACTAATGCAAGCTCATAACAAGGATTCAAACAAACTATGAGTAAGTGCATTAATTGGCACTCACTGCCAATTCACAAAACAAGAGAAAATCATGTTGAAAAAGAAATCTCAGTAGCAAAAGGGCCATGCGTGTTTGCAGAAGCAATGAATTTTGCAAATTTCTAACGAAGAAAGACTATCACTTAATGTACTTTTTCAATTAACCTTTTCAAATATGTATCAAAGAACGAGCATTATACAATGTCAAAGCATTCGAAAAT